GGGGGAGGCGGCGTGGGCAAGAGCGCCCTGACCATCCAGTTCATCCAGGTGGAGCCCGGCGGGAGGGGAGGGGAGGGGAGGGCGGGCGAGCGGGGCCGATTCCCCAAGGCTGGGGCTGTGGGCGGCGGTTCCTGACCGGGATTGGGGCTCCCGTGATAGGGCGGCGGCGTGTGCGTGTGCGTAACAACACAAAACTTACAGGCACGATCCTGGGCTGCGATAGAACTTTTCAAAACTGGGACTTCACTTCCGCCGTGTTTACTTAGGACATTCCCAAGGCAGCGTGCAAAAGATCGCTGCCTTTCTTGAACAACCTTGGGGGAGACTCGGTGGTTCCACCCCGTGGTTTCCCCCAAAGAGACAGGGCTGGAAGGAAAAGGGTGGGGTTGCGGTGCAGTCGAATCATTAAACTGGGTCTTGCTGTTCGGAGAGGATTCTGCCAAACCCAGTGGAGCGGAGGGAGGGAGCCTGGTGTGATTGTGGGCGATCAACAGGCGATGTCCTGACCATAGTGAGGGCATCCCTCTGCTGTCCACTCTCGGAAACAGGATACTAAGCTAGCTAGACCTTTGGTCTGATTCAGCCAGACACGTTCTTCTTAGGAGGTGAAAAAGCAGCCGGGGGTCTGGGTTCTAGGACAGAGGGGTTTGTTTCTTTCCTCAGCGTCCTCTCTCCCGCTCTCCTCTTTCCAGTCATACTTTGTCTCTGACTATGACCCCACAATTGAGGATTCATACACAAAAATCTGCAACATCGATGGCACTCAAACCCGGCTAGACAGTGAGTATTGGGATTGGGGGAGGAAGGTGTGCCTCTTTTTACAAAAAAAGTGTTCAGGTGTTCCGGAAGTGGCTCGCACGGGGTGGGGCGGGTAGGAGCTTGGCAAACAGGATCGTGGTGCCTGACGATCGGGCCCTCCGGGGACGTATATTGTGCCATGATCCCAAATGTAATGGGAGGCGGTGCCGTTACAAAGGTTATCGGCCAAGTGAGGGATCCATTGGTTAATGGAATGGTTTCTAGTCTAGTCTGTCACATCAGTTGATTAAATCTGAATGCATTTGTCTGTAAGGGGAAAAAAATTCTAAGGAAAAGGGTATCAGTCCTTAGATTTTGGAAGAGGCCTTCTCTGTACGCGGCTCACGCAGGAGGGAAGGCCTCTACTAAGAGAGGGCGCTTACCAGAGCAATTTTTATATGTTCCTATGCTACACTTTTTAAAAAATGTTGTTTTCTAATTAATTGGTGGATCCTTTGTAACGGATCAAAATGGGTTGATTGATCAACTAAAAGTGCCATACTAGACCAAGTTACACCCTTCTAAATCCATCGAAGTCAATGCAGTTACAAGGGCATCCAGGGCTCTTTTTGTAGAAAAAGCCCAGCAGGAACTCATTAGCATAATAGGCCACACCCAGCACCAGAAACATATTAGCATATTAGGCCACACCCCTGACAGCACAGCTCATTAGCACATTAGGACGCACCCCCACGTTACCAGAAGTGTGGTTATCCAGCCACACCCACCTTTTGCTTCTTATTCTGTTTACCTTGTTTGTTGTCAAAACCCAGGGCTTTTTTGTAGCAGGAACTCCTTTGCATGTTATGCCATACACCCCTAATGTAGCCAATCCTAATGAGTTTCTGCTGTTGGGTGTGGCCTATTATGCTAATGAGTTCCTGCTGGCTGTGGCCAACTTGGGAGCCTGCAGGAACTCCGTTCCTGTGCGTTCCTGCCCAAAAATAGCCCTGGGCATAACTCTGCACAGGGTGGCATTGCAAATGTCACAGTTCTGACTCTATGCTCTCTCTTCCCTCCTGCATGGCCCTCCTTTTGGAGGTGAAGGCTGTGCCATTTGTAGAACAAAGGGGGTATTTTTTTGTACTGAGAACCGGAGAGTGAAAGCAAGGGGAAGGCGATTGCTTGTGTGGCTGGACCAAGACAGGAGATCTCAGGGGAAGCATCTATAGGAACTGGATGATCTGAAAGGACGGAATGTAAAACTGAAGGTGGAATTTCGGGGAGGACTTGTCGGTTCTGGAGAGTCCTAAAGAAAGGCAGCTAGTGGGAATTTGGGTGTACATGGTAAAGGGAAGTAACTGTAAGCGGATAAGGATTTGATGGTGACTGCCAGAACGCTGATTTGTTATTAATGGTGTTTGTAGTCTGCCTTTCTTACTGAAACTGAAGGTAGACTACACAGTGTAGGTCAGTACAATCAGCGGGATGGGACATCCAACAGATAGTGCAATAGGATTTGGATCAAAGAAATTGGGAACCTACCAGTAATCTGAAAACAGAACTGAAACAAAAGCATAAACATTAACGTGACATATAAAATGTTGCCAAGATTTCATACTAGGATCCTACTTACATCAGACAATACGAAATATACACAGTAGTATAGACCACACTCCCTAACCCTTTATCCAGGTATCTTTCTGAACCATTTTGGTACAGTGAAGCTCTATTACCTGTGTTAGTAAAGTTAGAGGTGGATATAATAGTATTTATAGGCCCCGGTCACACGGGCCGGATATTGCGGGGGGGGGGGGGGCGTGGCTAATTGCCCCGGCGCAGTTTGATCCGCGATTATGCAATCAGACTTGCCGGCGGCACACAACCGGTCCTTCCCTCGGCGCTGGCAGGTAAACGAGGGACCGGAGGGGAATGCCGCACGCCGGTGCGATCACACCACGGGGGTCTGGAGGCGGCCCGTGGCAAGCGTTTACTAGTACCTTGGAGGTACTAGTTTTTTTAACTCGCATTGTCGGCGGTAAGCCACGGGTGCGCTCCACTTCCCAGATGTTGGGGTGTGATCGCGCCCGGATAATCCGCCCACCATCTCTCCCGCGGATTATCATGCCTCTCCCGCGGCAACTTTGCCGTGTGACCGGGGCCATAGACTACTTTTTGAATGTTCAAAGCTTGGAGCCTGTTTTGAGAACGGTAGAAATAATATAAATAAATTGTGGAAATAATATAAATAACTGTTCACAAATTAGCGTGGCGTTCCTTACGGCAAACCTGTAAGGTGGTTCACTATTACTGCAGGTGAGGGGCAGATTTTGAGTGAGGTTTGCCTAAGGTAGTGGTTCTCCAATTTTTCAAGTGAGACCCATTTCTAAACTTACTGTGCTTTTTGGGACCCACTCGCACAAGAACATAAGAAGGGCCCTGCAGGATCAGACCAGTGGTCCCTCGAGCCTGGCATCCTGCTTCATGTAGTGGCCAAACCGTTGCCCTAGAAGGACAAACAAACAAGGCAGAGAAGCCAGGCTCTTCCTCCATGTTGCCTTCTAGCCTTTGATGTCAGAGATTTGCTGCCTCTGACTATAGAGGTTCCCTTTCGTCATTGTGGCTAGTGGCCATTGATGGACTTTTCCTCCATCGATTTGTCTAACACCCTCTAAAAACCATCTAAGTACGTGGCCACTGCAGCGAACTTCACAATTTAATTACTTGTTGAATAAAGAAGTAATTCCTTTTACCCTTCCTAAATCTATTGCCCGTCAACTTCATAGAGTGCCTCCAAGTTCTAGTATTGTGGAAGAGGAAGAAAAAGCTTCCTGCCTCTCTTTTTAATACTGGACCAGTTTATATTTTATTTTTATTTTTTTCTACTTCTAAATATATAGCACCACTGAGCAGCAGGCTGTATTTCACAGCCATTTTATACATTGTATAGGAGGCAAACCCCTAGGGCAGCTGATTCTCTGCAGGATGAGGCAGGATACTGGACTAGACCAGGGGTCGTCAACATGGTGCCCACTGGCACCATGGCACCTGGCTGACACCTTCCCTGGTGCCTGCCAAGTGATTTTAGAAAGTGGATGGTGCCAGGTAGATCTTTTGCCCAGCAGGGCTTCTGAGTTGCCCTTGGAGATTTGATTGGCTGTGCATATTTTTAAAAAAATGTTTTTAAAACGGTGCCACCACAGCACGCAGATCTTCACTGTGTGTCTGAAAGTAAGCTGAAACAGCCATTTTGTGGCTGGCTCCGCCTCCTGTGGCAGCCATTTTGTAGCAGCCATTTTGTGGCTGCGCCTACCACACTCTGTCAGAATCCCAAAGGTACCTGCAGCCTGAAAAAGGTTGGGGACCCCTGGACTAGGCGAACTACCAGTCTGATCCAGCAGGGCATGTCTTACATTCTGAAGCTCAAGTCTGCGATCAAGCCTCCCACAACTTCCTCTCCTGGCCTGCCCTGTTCTTCCTCCTCCTTCCTGGCCTCTCGAGAACCCTGGAAATGAGTCAGGCCCACTTTGGGGGGGCTGACCCACAGTTTGAGAACCACGGGTCTAAGGCAAGTTCAGGTGAGTTTGCGGCTGAGGTGAGATTTCAACCAGGGACTTGCCAGTTTGCACTCTTAGCCACTGCACTGTATCACTTCCTCTATAGCCACTGTGTTGAGTTCTTCAGTACTTTTCTTCCTCTCCACTTTTCTGCTTCTCTTGCCAGTTTTGGATACTGCAGGACAGGAAGAATTTGGGGCCATGCGAGAACAATATATGCGCACAGGGGAAGGCTTTCTTCTCATCTATGCCATCAATGATCGTGGCAGGTAAGAGGCATCGAAACGGGCCAGAAAAGGAACCTTAAAGCAAATAATGTGAACAGGGTTGCCAGGTCCTTTTCCTCTCACTGGCGTGGGGTGGGAAGGAGCTTTCTAGGGAGTGGGGGGGGGGGGTGAGGGACACTTTGT